ATGGGAATTTTGATGGAAAATTTATTCCAGAAGGACCAAAGCACCTCTGTTGTATTTTGTGGGAATTTTGCTGAACTCCAGAAGAGAATCAGTTGGGGGATTTTGTGGGAATTTTGATGGAAAATTCACTCTGGAAGAACCAAACCACCCGTGTTGGATTTTGGGGGGATTTTGCCGAAAAACTGATTCCCAGAGGTGGAACCTCGGGAAAATGCAGAGGGAGGGCTGGAGCGATCCCCTCCTTTCCCAGCAGGGATTGTGTCCCACCCCCGGATATTGGGAATAATGATATTCCCAAGGAAAAGATTCCAAAATAAAAAAAAAAAAGGGAACTTTTCCCATTTCTCCTTCCCACCGTTTTCCCAGGAGAGAATTCCAGGTGGATTTTCCACCCATCTTAAAAAGGGATCAGGAATGATCGGACGGGATTCAAAATCCATTTTTTTCACTGCCTTACTCGGGATAATTAGAATTTATTTAATTAATTGGAATTGATTTCATTAATTAATTAATTTTTCATCGTTAGTTTCAATCAGAGATTCTCCTTTTTCCATGGCTTTGCCTTTTCCCAGGATCCCAACTGGAAAATGGGATTCGGCTCTGCCCTTCCTGCGTTTGGTGATGAATAATTAATTTAATTTAATCAATATTTAATTAAATGACTGTTTTTTCYGAGGAGGAAAAAATCGGATTTATCCCTTYCAGCCATTCCCTTCCTGCTCGGTGYTCTCCCRGTGGATTCTTCCAGATTATTTCGGACTCTGTTTTCCCTGGAATGTTGTTTTTTACGGATAAATCCATGGACAAGTTGCCTTCCAAGCATCYATCAAAGGAATAATTCCAAGAAAATAAAAGTTTTAATTTTTTGGTTGTACTGGGAAGTTTTCCATGGGTTTGGGGTATTCCCAAGGTTCTTCTTGGAATATCTTGGAGTTCACATTCCCGTGGATCACCGGCAAAAWTTCCCTGATTCCTCTTGGACGATCMATAACCTGCTAAGGGATTGATTGATTAATTAATTGCTTAATAAGCAGCAGATTAATTAATTAGTGATCCCATTCTCATTATTAACTCGCCATGTGCGTTCCAGCATTATTAAACTCGGCCATTCCCAAACCTCGGGAATCACCTGCGGGTGCTCCGGGATTTGTTCTTCCATTTTTCCCTTCCGGYGGCTTTTATCCCAAATTATGCAAATTCCTCCCTTTTTTCCAAGTCTTGGGTTGGGGAAGGATCCAGGGAATGCTCAGAGCTCCTTCCTGAGTGTTCCAGGGGCTCCAGGAGAGCTGGAGAGGGATTTGGGATAAAGGATGGAGGGATGGGACAGCGGGAATGGATTCCACTGGGAAAGGGAGGAATTATTGGGATCTTGGGAAGGAATTCCCGGCCGGGCTGCAATTCCCAGGGAATGTCCCAGGATGGATTTGGATCCCCCCGGGATTGGGGGAGGTGTCAGGGCTGCAATGGGATGGGATGGAAGCTCCGGGAATCCCATCCCAACCATGGCGGGATTGTGGGATAGAGGACGCTCCGAATCCATGGCGAGGGATTGGGATGGAAACGATTCCCCCTTGTTCCTCAGGAGTGGGATAATCACGGAATCACTGAACGGTTTGGGCGGGAAGGGAGCTCAAAGTTCATCCCAGGTTTTTTGGGGATTTCCGGATGGATCCRTGTCCCCTTTTCCCGATCTCTTTGGATACGGCCCCTCCCTGTCCCACCCGGCTGGGAATCCCTGGAATTCCAAAACCCTTCCCTGGATTTTCCCAATCCCAGCCCAGTGGGAATCACCCATCCCCAAAAATTCCCAGCATCAGGATCTCCTCATCCTGGATCAGAGAGGGTTGGATCAGGCTTTGGAATTTTTTGGGAATTCCGCTCCTGAATTTCGGTGCCGTTTTCCATCGGGGAAAAAAATGGGAAAAGAATTCTCCCATCACTTCCTCCTCGAGGCCGGAGCAGGAATTCCCGGGATCTCCTCCTGGCCCTGAGGAATGGATTTTTTTCCCTATTCCATGGATTTGGCCCCATCCYAGTCCCTCCCGGCACATGGATGGAATTGGGATCCAGTTCCACGCTCCGGGTCTGGAAAATCTTCATGGAAAGAGCTCRGAGCGCCCAAATCTTCCAATCCCACTGGGATTTTTGGGAATGGGGAGGGAAAACCAGCCCGACCTCCCACCCGAATCCATTGGTGGATTTTGTGGGAATTTTGTTGGAAAATTGATTMCAGAAGGACCAAAGCATCGCTAGTGAATTTTGTGGGAATTTTACCAGAAAAATGGACTTTGGAAGAGAATCAGTTGATGGATTCTGTGTGAATTTTGATGGAAAATTGATTCCAGAAGGACCAAACCACGTCTGTTGGGTTTTGTGGGAATTCTGCCGGAAAACTGAGTCCGGAAGAGAATCAGTTGATGGATTTTGTGGGAATTTTGATGGAAAATTGATTCCAGATGGACCAAACCACCGCTGGTGAATTTTGTGGGAATTTTGCTGGAAAAGTTATTCCAGAAGAAAATAAATTGGTGGATTTTGGGGGAGTTTTGCTGGAAAATTGATTCCAGAAGGACCAAACCACCTTTGCTGGATTTTGTGGGAATTCCTTCCCACCCTAATTCCCTCCCTCCAGTTCTTTTCCCGATCCCAGAAAAAAAAAAAAAAACCACACGGGAAGCACGGCAGAGATCATGGAAACCAAAGGAAAGGCCAAGGCAGTTTTTATTTACATCAGTTTTGTACAAAAAAAGGACAGCTGGCGCCACAATCCTGTTTTTCCCCCTTTTCCCGGGATTCTCCCGGAGCTCCGGGATCCCAGCACCGGGAAAGAGCCGCGATTTCCTCCGGACCGGAGCTCGGAACATTCAACCCGGACACGGCGGAGACCGAACCCTTTGTTCCCACCCGGGTGGGGATTTTGGGGTCCCRCGGCACCGGGATCACTTCTGAATGGAAAATGGGAATGGAGGGAATTCCCACCCCATGGAAAATTCCTTCTCCCGCCTTTCCTGGAGGCGGAGATCCCCCGGGAATGGCACRGTAGCTCCCCAAAAAAACCTTATTTTGGGATTTTGGGGGGTTTTCCACACTCTTCGCTGTCCCCAAGGGGTTCCCCACGCATATTTTTTCCATTTTTCCCATTTTTCCAATTTTTCCCATTTTTCCACAGGGCTCCATCCCATTTCCGGCTCTGTCCACCTTTTTTCCCAAATTTTCCCTCCTGACGCTCCCCCTCCAGGAGCCRGCGCTTTTCCAGCCTTAAAAAGGGGAATTTCGTCCCAAAATTCCCACCGGGATTATTATTATTTTATTTTTTTTTTGGGAGGGGAGGTTCTTACAAAAAGTTTCTTTGGGAATTCACGGGGTATTCCAAAGTCACCCTTGGGAAGGATCACGGGTGTCTCCAACAGCCGGGAAGAAAAAAAAACCTTTGGAGCAAGGGAATTCCGCTCCCCGACCCCTCCAATGGGGGAAATCCTTCTCCCCCTTCCCAAAATGGTGCCAGAAGGGCAAAAAAAATCTCCGGATTTTGGGAAGAGACCCCGAATCCGGGCGGGAACGAGGGAGGGACAGAGAGAAACGGGGCGGGGTGGGGTGGGATGGAGAAAAACTCCGGAAGGGATTCCCGCCCGCCCCGCCTTGCCCAGCACCACACGAAACTCACACAYGACGCACATTTTTCCCCCACGATTCCCTCCCCACCCGCTCCGGAATTAATTCCCGAAATTCCTCCTCCTCAACCCTCTGGACCGTGGGGATGGGCGTTGCCCCAAATTCCCGCCCTYGTCCCTTTCCCTCCCCACCCTCCCCCAGACACTCTCCGATGGCTTCACCCCCTTTCGACTCGTCACATCCACRAACAAAGAAAGCAGAGCAACGTCCGTCGTCGTTGCCAGCGCCGTTCCCCACCCCCACCGTTCCGACCTGGAGCTGCGGAAGCTTCCGGAACCTTCCCCGGAGCTGTCAGTCCAAGCAGTGCCTCTTTACCTCGAGGCTTCTTCCTTGAGCTCCTTGTTTTTCCGCACTTCCTCCGCGTGTTTGTCCTGCGGGATCAGGAACGGGGAGGAGGAAGAGGAGGGGAAAAAAAAAAAAAAGGAGGGAGGGGGACACAGGCGTTAGCTGGATTCCAGGATTCCGCGATTCCGGACGAAATTCCGGCGGCTCCGGAGGGGTCRGAAGGCGTGAGGTTGATCCCAAGGGACACCGGGGGACGGCTCGGCATCGTCCTCTCCTTCCCCGGGGTCGGGGGGGTCACTTAAGGGCTGCTGGTGGCACTTGGGGACACTCGGTCCTCGCCCTCCGGCTACGAGGGAGACGTCCCGGGAAGCCCCCGTGGAGCTGGGATTAGCTGGGATTTTTCCGGCATTATCTGGGGCTCTCCGCCTCGGCCCCGGCGGAGGCGCTYGGAGAAGGGCGCCGGGCGGGCTCCGGATGTTTTGGAGGGAGCTGGAGGTGGTGAGGGTGGGATTTTCCGTGCAGAGGTTGGGAACAGACCTGATTCGGGAGAGAGAACAGGGCTGGGAGGGTGGGAATGGCTGCCGTATCCGCGGGGTGGGGCCGCAGGATGATCTGCTGGCCCGGAGATGGGAAAAGGGACATGGGGGTGACAGGGGTGTGGCCGGGATGGAATTCCCAGAGAAGCTGGGGCTGCCCCTGGA